TTTTTTTTTTTTTTTTGCCTGAGGTGTATTTTATTGTTGCTGTTTTGTTTGGTTGTTTTTGTTTTGTTTTTTGACAGGGTCTGGCTCTGTCTCCCAGGCTGGAGTGCAGTGGCATGATCTTGGCTCACTGCAGCCTCTATCTTTTGGGCTCAAGCCATCTTCCCACCCCAGCCTCCAGAGTAGCTGGGACCATAGGTGCACGCCACTATGCCCAGCTAGTGTTTGTATTTTTTTTTGGCAGAGATGGGTCTTGCCATGTTGCCCAGGCTGATCTTGAACCCCTGGGCTCAAGCAATTCTATTGTTGCTGTTTTATCATCTGTGACATTAAGTTAATATTTACTGCCTTTTGACTTTATTGCATTATTTATGTATTAAGTTTACTTCTCTCCTTGTCTCTGTGACTCCAGACACTTAATTAAAAAAGTACTGTTTGGTACTAACTTGATCTCAGACTTACATGAGGGCTCTGAAATTATGTGACACTTCTTTATTCATGTATATAGTATAAGGTGGTTATCTGGATGACCCAGAATATGCTTAGATTTCAGTTACAAAAACCACCTAAATGAAAAGAACTTACTGGAGCCTTTAAGAAGGCTCCTGTCTCCTCTGCACTACCCATTTCTCTTCATTTTATGTATTTGAGAAACGTAGTTTTATTTTATAGGATTAAAAAGTGTTTTTTTTTTTTTTTTTTGGATTCATAAAAGTTTTAGAAATTTAGGAAGTATAGAACAGTAGAAAAGAAAGAAAATTACTCAGTGGTAACTACCTCTTTATGATTCTTGCCTGTCTTTTGGGTATATCTATATTATTTCTATTGTATATAGAGATTATATTATGAATAGCATTTGCTTTGTCTTGTTTTTCTTAATGGCAATGGGAAAATGTATTTTGCTGGATTTCCCTTAAGATAAAAGACACATTTTTGATTCCTGTAATGGTCATTCTCATAGAAAAGAATGAAGCCAACTGAATGTTTTAAATACTGAATCCCTTACCTCTTTCCTGGTTGTTGCTGCTGTGCTTCAAGTAACTGAATTGATTTTATCTCTAGGCTATCCAAGATGTATTCTCATACAAGACTGACTTAGAGTATTCTTTTTACTAGGTTGGCTAGTAGCAGTTATATTATTTGTGCCAAATTGTGCCTTGACAGTTTGATTTTAAGATGTGTATGTTTTATTCTTTTAATATTCTTTTGCTGATTTGAAACCTACAGGAAAACAATTTTGATCATCTTGATTTTGATTTGGATTTGATGCCTTGGGAGTCAGACATTTGGGACATTAACAACCAAATCTGTACAGGTAATTCTGTATTTCACTGGTAAAAGTTTTAAAAAGATCAATTTTATTTTGTAGTTTGGTCATACTCAAAATTAGGTGGGGTTATTGGGCTATACTGGTAGGTTAAAAGATTCCTGGTGCTATGCATTCTACTTCTGGTATGGCAATTGTGTAAACAAATTTCTTGCCAAAAATGGATATGAGGAGTTTCATAGTTACGTTTCAGTAGTGTAATGAATGAATAGTTTGTATCAGAAATAGAAACAGTTATTTTGAATTATGAATAATGTCCCTATATAAGATTAACCTGAGAACCAGACAGGGCTTACCAGAACCTAGGAACTTGGTGGAGGAGTCCCATGCATTTTATACATGTATTTCTGAGAAGGGGCAGCACCTTGTGATGCCAGTATCTTTAAGGGGGCCTGATGAGGTCGGGGTTGAGTATACTGAAAGAAGCCAGAACCTGGAGCAAATTGCCAATGCTGGGGTACAGCTGATGGTAGAATGAAGAAAATCCCTTCTCCCTTCTGGCTTCTAGTATCCCCTATTGACAGGACCTAAAAGGATGCCAACTGGGAATAATTTGTATCACTGATTATAGAAAGTGGACTTAGTGCTGACAGACAGTGAGTAAATAACCAGCACATTCTCCTATCTAAATTCTTGTCTCCTCTGCACTACCCATTTCTCTTCATTTTATGTATTTACTTATATTGCTTCATGCCTGTCTGTCTTCATAGAATGTGGGATACACAAAGTCAGTGTTCTGGTTTTATTGTTTGACAAACTACTCTAAATCTTAGTTGCTTAAAGCAACAACCATTTTATTAGATTGCTAGAATCTGTGGGTCACGAATTTTGACTGGGTGCTCCAAGGATGGCTTGTCTCTGCTCCATGATGTCCAGACCACAACTGGGGAGATTTGAAGATTGTAGTAGCTTGACATTTGGGGGCTAGAATCATCTTGAGGTTTCTTTACTCATATGCGTGACACTTGGGGTGGAATGACTTGAAGACTAGGACTACCAACTGGGGTGCCTGCATAGGGCTTCTCTATGTGGTGTAATGTTCTCAAATCATGGTGGTCTCAGGGTAGTCAGACTTCAAAAGCTCCAAGTATGAGTGTTCCAGGACACAAAGCAGAGGCTGCATTTCCAGCCTCAGAATTCACATAGCATTACTTCTATCCTCTCTTGATTGAAGGAGTCAAGCCCACCTAAATTCACGGGGAGGAGAAATCAACTCTACTTCTTGATGGGAAAGTGGCAAGATCACATTGTAGAAGATCATGAGGGAAGATCATGAGGGATGGTAGATACTGCATGGCTAACTTTGGAAAACACAATCTGCCATCTCCACCCTATTCTGTCTTTGACACCAAGGGATACTGCCTGGGCCATAGTTGCTCAGTACATTTTTATAGGATAAATTAATAGTTTAAAAGATATGAACATTTTTTATGAGTTTCAATTGTATTGTCAAAAATGCTTTCCAAAATAATTATTTCCTGTTCCTTATTTTTTTTAAGTAAGTTTTTGGGAATCTATAATATTTTGCATATGGTATAGTATTCAAAAGGTACAAAAATCTGTATAGTAGAAAAATGTCTCCTGCTTTTATTCCTTAGCCGACAAGTTGTGCTTTCCAGTTCTGTTACCAGTTTCTTCTGTTTACACTTCCAGAGAATTAGTGCAGATGCAAGTGTACACATATATGCACACACACACACAGACATACATATATATACAGCCCCCCTCCCCACATATATAATTTGTTATACAAGTGGAAGCTTACTAGATATATTGTTTTCTGCATCTTGCATTTTCACTTGTTATATTTTGGTGACCTTGGCTTCCATATCCGATTGAATTTTAAAAGTAGATTTTACCTTCTTTCTTGTTCATTTTATTCTAAGTTTTTATTGTCCAGTGGGTAAAACCTTTCCTCCGTGTTTTCCAGTTAAAGATATTAAGGCAGAACCTCAGCCACTTTCTCCAACCTCCTCAAGTTATTCAGTCTCGTCTCCTCAGTCAGTGGACTCTTATTCTTCAACTCAGCATGTTCCTGTGAGTAGCGAGTAGCCAGTTTTTTACAATGATTTTGGCTATAATATGCTATCTGGAAAATATGTATATGGGAGAGACAGTTAACATTTATTGAATACTACTGTGAGTTATATTGTCTCATTTAATGAGGGAACTGAAACTTTAGAAAGGGCCTTATGGGAGCTAGAAAGTTGTTAGTGCCTTTGGTTTTGCCCTCTTTCCCCTCTGTTCATGCCTTCATAATTTCATTGTTTCATTTGTTTCGTTGCATTTTAACAGTATCCAGTATTTGTTTTTTGGCTTACTGTCTTTTCTCCCTCCCTTTCTTTCTCCTCCCTATTAGGATATACATTCTTTATATATGGACATAGAAGAATGTAAGATGGTCAGTTTTTATAACTCTTTAGCCACAGCATCCAGAATGATTGCCTTAGTTTGGGAATGCCTAGTGCTACCTTTTGAAGTGGCTGACATTTTTATAGAAGTCCGGTAGCTCTTTTAAGAATGCTTCTGCTCTGTGTCCAAACAAAAGCCCTGAGGCCAGGAAAAGGAAGTACCTGATTTAGGTACTTTTTAGAATGGGGAAAGGGAATGTAGAAAAATAAGAAAATCAATTAATATTTTAGTATATTACATGTGCTATAAATTGTGGTATCTTTGTTCCTGCAGGCTCTACATTTAGTTACTAAATCCTGGTGGTTGTATGCACATATTAATTCAAGAATTTATCTTTTCTGCCCCTGTCAGGCCATCACCATCTTGCCTGAATTAAGTCAATAAGATTTTAACTGGTCAGCCTTCCAACTCCTCAAACCTTTCTTAGCATGGAATCTTCAAAGAGAAATCTTTCAGTGTCACAAGCTTTACTGTATCAGTAATTTGCTTAAAACTTTGGTAACTTCCCAGTCCTTACAAGGACGAAATTTAAATTCCCAGAGTACTAGGCCCTCCATGATCTGGCCTGCATTTACCTTTCCAGTCTCCTTTCTTGCTATCCCCTCCTACTTCCACATTCCCCTTAACTTGAGACCTGTGAGAGTTCCTGTCTGAGAGCTCCTATGCACTCCACTCATTCAACCGCTGTGCCAGGCACTGTTCCAGATGCTGGCAGTGAACAACAGCAGTGAGATCACTGCTCTTACAGTTCTAGGTTTTTGCACGTCCTCTTTCTTCTGCCTAGAATAGCCCCATTTTTTTTCTTGTTTTGGAAAACTCATCCTTCAAGTCCCAGTTCAAAAATTACTTCCTTTATGAAGCTTTTCTCTGATTGCTACTATTGGTAGCTCTCTGAGGTCCCACAATTTCTCCAAATGATATAATTTTTTAAAAAAATTAATAATTTATTTTTGAAGTCAAAATTATATAATAAGATATATTCAGAAAAGCCTGGTTTCTATCCATGTCATTTCCATCCTTTTTTACACAAAAGGTAGCATACTATATACCCTGTCCTGTACCTTGCTTTTTTAGCTTAGCAGGATAACTCTAATTTCAGAGTATATAATTTTCCCATTATGCTACATAATGTTTCATTGCATAACCTTATCATGCTTAATTCAGTGATTTCCTTATTGATGAATATTTGTGTTGTTTTTAGTCTTTTCCAGACCCAAATAACCTGTACATAAGTCTTTTCCAGACTCAAATAACCTATAGTAAATAACCTGGTACATAAGTCACTTTATATTTTTGCCAGGATATTTTTGGGATATATTCCAAGAGGTGGGATTGCTGAAACCAGGATAAATACACTTGAATTTTGCTAGATATTGCCAAATTTCTCTCTATAGGGGTTGTAAAATGTTACATCCTCATCAGCAGTATGTAAGAGGGCCCGTTTTCCCATCATCACTCCACAATAGGTTTTATTTTATATCTCTTTTATTATAAGGATGGTTAAATATCTATTCATATGTTTTATATGTTTAAGGCCTATTTGCATTTCTATTTAAAAAATGAACTGTCAGTTCAAATTTTTGTTCTTTTTTTTGAGGTGAAGTCTCGTTCTTGTCCACCAGGCTGGAGTGCAATGGCAGATCTCGGCTCACCACCACCTCCGCCTCCTGGCTTCAAGCAATTCTCCTGCCTCAGCCTCCTGAATACCTGGGATTACAGGCACCTGCCACCACGCCCGGCTAATTTTTGTATTTTTAGTAGAGACAGGGTTTCACCATGTTGTCTAGGCTGGTTTCGAACTCCTGACCTCTGGTGATCTGCCTGCCTCGGCCTCCCAAAGTGCTGGGATTACAGGCATGAGCCACGGTGCCCGGCCATTCATTTTTTAATTGAATTGTATTGATCTTTTTAGTATTTTAGCTTTATTATATATTGGGTTTGTTAGTCCTTAGTTTGTGAAATAAGCTGCAAATATTTTTTCCCCAGTTTTTCTTTTGTCTCTTTGCTTTATTTCTGGTGTTTATTTTCCCTGGGTATACTGTTTTCTATAGCCAAATTATTGATCTTTTCTTTAATTGCTTTTTTGGTCACTCAAAGGAAGGTTTTCACCACTCAGAGATTATAAAATAATTCACTCATATTTTTATTCTTACTTTTTTTAAGTTAATTTTTTGTTTGGAACAATCTCAAATTCACAGAAGTGTTGTTAGTACATTGCAAATAACTTGTTTTTTCCTTGTGCATTTGAGAGTAAGTTACCAGTCCGATGCCCTATCACTGCAATACTTTAGTGTCTGCTTCCTACAAGCACAGATATTTCTTAGATAGCCATAATACAAGCACAAAATCGGGAAATAAACATTGATATGTTACTATAATCTAACCTTCAGCTCTCGTTTAAATTGTGCCAGATATCCCAGAGGTGTCCTTTAGACTATCAAAAGAACCCAGTTCAGAATCAAGCATTGCATATGGTTGTCTTGTCTTTTTAATCTTGTTCAGTATGAAACAGTTCTTCATTAATCCTTGACTTTCTTCACCTTGTCACTTTTGGGGATTAGGGGTTAGTTATTTTGAAGAGTGTTTCTCGGTTGGGTTTGTCTAATGTTTCTTTAGGATCATATTCATGTTTTATATCTGTGGTAGGAAAGTGATGTCTGTGTCCATCTCATTTACTTTTGATGACCCAATTTTGATTTTTTCTAATACTGATTATGTTCACTTTGATCACTTCATAGATGTTGTCTGCCAACCTATTCCATTGTGAAGTTGCTTTTTCTCTCTTTGCCATACGTATTTTGTGAGGAAGATACTTTAAGACTGTGTAAAAATATCCTGTTCTTCATCAAACTTTATATTTGTTCACTTATTTGTTAATATCAATATAGATTCATCATTTCTTATTTTATGCAACAGATTATAATCCATTACTGTAATTATTTGTTCTGATTCTTACGTTGTCCTGGATTTCGTCAGTGGGGGTCCCTTCACACCAGCTCTTATGTTCTTTTAACATGTCTCCTTTGGGCTCTGATGTCCTTACACCAGCCTGTCTCCCATGTGGATGCCCTCATCACTCTGCTATGACTCCTCATGCCAGGCTGCCTGCCATGTCAGTGCCCTCTCTACTGTTCTTGGACCCTGACATTCCACCAGGCTGCTTCTCTGCATGGATGGTGGTCTTGCTTTGCCCCATCTGGTGGCTTAGGATAAAATTATTCAGGAAGGAATATTTTCTAAGTGACTATGAATAAATATTTATCATGAGATATTATTTTTAGCGTTTAGATCTCTGATCCATTTGAAATTACCCTTGTGTATGATATGAGATACAAATACAATTTTATGTTTTTCAAAATGACTACCAGAAGGATTATTCTAGTACCATTTATTAAAAAGTTCATCTGATTTCAATTATATGCATGTATTTTAAATTTATGTAATGGTATTATAGTATATATCTTTACATTATTTACTTTTAAAAATCAGCACAGTGTTTTTAAGATCAATTCCTATTGCTCTGTGTAATCAAATCTGTTGAATCTAACTCTGTACAACATTCAAGTATACATTCACTACATTTTTACCTACACCATAATGAATATTTTAAAAAATGTTCCCTTACGGACTCATGTGAGAAATCCTTTAGGATATATGCCTAGGATTGCTGGGTGATAGAATGTGCAGAGATTTAATTTGACAAGTGCTTCCATATTGCTCTCCAGGATCATCACAGTACTCTGTGGGCTGGCAGCAGTGCTCGAGGGTCCCTGTGACTTCTCCTGATGCTTGGCATTATCTGCCTTTTTAATGTTTACCCCATGGCACAATGTGTTTTGTTATTGTTTGCTTTTATTTTGTTTTACTTTGTATTTCTTTGGTTATTGTTTTCAACATTTATTTATATTCTTATGAGCTTTTTGGACTTCTTTTATACATTGTTTATTCCTGTCCTTTGCCAGTTTTTCTACTCAGTTGTTGTCTTCTTGTTTATCTGTAGAAATTCCTCATATATTTGAAATAGTAAACTCTTGTTGGATTTAGACATTCAAATTGCCTATATCTTTTCTCTATTATCTATTAACTTTGTAGTCTTTATTAAGTATAAATAGTTAATTTTGAATTACTCAGGCTTATCTTTTTTTTTTCTTTTCCTTTATGGCTTATTTCAGAAGTCCTTCCATGCTTTTAGGTCACAGAGATATTCTCCTGCATTTTCTTCTATTACCCATATGGTTTACCTTTCACATTTAGGGTTCTTAATACTCTTAGACTCCACTTTAATATGTGCTATTATGTAGGGATCCAGCAGTAGGTAGGGATCTAGTTTTAATTTTCTCTATAGAAATGAATCAGTTTTCCTAACTGTATTATCTTTGTAATCATTTGTAATCACTCTGTTCAACAATATTGTGTATTTCTCTGTTAACTCAAATCTTTTATGCCTCTTAGTTCAGTTGTGTAGTTTTCTTCATATGGGTCCTGCACATTCCTTAGAAAATTTCTAGGTATTTTGTAATTGTTATTGCTATTGTGAGTGAAATATTTATTAGTTTTATTTAAATCTTTTTTATTTTTAATTTTTCTGGGTACATAGTAGGCATATATATTCGTGGGGTACGTGAGATGTTTTGACCCAGGCATGCAATGTGAAATAATGAGATCATGGAAAATGGGGCATCCATTCCCTCAAGCATTTATCCTTTGTGTTATAAACAATCCAGTTACAGTCTTTTTGTTATTTTAAAATGTACAACTAAGCTCTTATTGAGTATAGTCACCCTGCTGTGCTATTAAATAATATGTCTTATTCCTTCTCCCTTTTTTTTTTTTTAATCCGTTAACAATCCCCGTCTCACTACCAGCTTCTCAGTACCCTTCCCAGCCTCTGGTAACCATCTTTCTACTCTACGTTCATGATTTCAGTTGTTTTGGTTTTTTGATCCCACAAATAAGTGAGAACATGTGATGTTTGTCTTTCCGTGCCTGACTTGAAATATTTATTTTTTATTATATTTTTTAAGTGAGTATTAATATAATATTTTCAAGGTCAAATTTTTTTGCCAGTGGATGGTTACATGTGCTTCAAGTGTATAGCATATTACCTTGCTAAAAGGCACGCTGTCTCTTTTGTTTTAATGTTTTTTTAATTTCTTCTTTTAGTGTAATTATACTAGAATTACAGAAAAAGCAGGTAGCTATTTTTTATCCTGACTTTAATTGTAATGCATTCAGCATTGGCTTTGGCTGTATAATTACTTATAACTTTTTAATGTTAAGAAAGTATTCCTCGAATCCTTGTTTTCTAGGATTTTATTGAGGAATACTTGTTGAATTTTATCAAATACTTTTTAAGCATCGAAGGCCATGAAGATAATAGTCTCCTCCCGTGTTACCTTGTACTCTTTGGTTTCTTGGAAATATATTTTAATACACTGTACATTTTGCTCAGCTTACATGCTGCGTAGGTGTTAAGGATGAATGAAGATGCAATTGTCACTCTCACCAGTGAGACTGAGAACATCTCTTTCTCCCATATCCTCTCCAGGTCATTTTAATTTTTTTGTGATTAAAGTTTACATTTGCCTTTGGCTACCATTTGCATTTCCTTTTCAGTGAAATGACTGTTCCTGCCCTTTGTCTATGTTTCGCAAATATTTTCTATCAATATATATCTTTTAACTTTGTTTAGGGTCTAGTTTTTATTGTTAAATATTTTACTTATTATTTGTTCAAATCTATTTCTTCTTCCTTTGTGGCTTCTGGGTGTTCAGACTTAAGAGGGTCTGCAACATCCTGAGAATAAACAAGTATTCTCTTAAATTTTGTTTTTATATTCTTATAGATTATTTTGAAGATGGTATGAAGTAGAGATTATGTCTGTTGCGTGATCATACATGCCATCTTTTCTGTCTGAATTGAATTGCTACTTCTATGTTGTTTCTTTATTCTAACAAACTGAGACAGATTCACTGAATATTAAAAGACTTTGGGACAATGCGAATGTTATCTTTATGTATCTCAGTCATTATGAATCACCTACTAAATTAAAGAAAATAGCACTGCTGGCTGGGTGGGGTGGTTCACGCCTGTAATCCCAGCACTTTGGGAGGCCGAGGCAGGTGGATCATATGAGGTCAGGAGTTCTAGAGCAGCCCAGCCAACATGGTGAAACCCCTCTCTACCAAAAATACAAAAACTTAGCAAGGCATGGTGGCACACATCTGTGGTCGTAGCTACTCGGGAAGCTAAGGCAGGAGAATTGCTTGAACCTGGGAGGCAGAGGTTGCAGTGAGCTGAGATTGCATCACTGCACTCCAGCTTGGGCAACAGAGTGAGACTCTGCCTCAAAAAAAAGAAAATAGCACTGCTCCATTCATGTATCTTTCTTTTACATTTGGAAGAAAGGCAGTATTACAAAATAGAAAATAGAAAAGGATAAAAATAAAATTATTTTGCTTTTGATATTCTTTTAAGACTGAATAAGAGAGATTATGGAGAAAGGATATTGGCATTTTAACTGCAACCTTATACTGATACTGGATGTTTGTATGACTAGCAATCAAGTTTTATGTTTGTGTGTGTGTGTGTGTGTGTTTGTAGTTTGTAGGAAGAAATGTAGAAACAGATCAATGACTCATATCTTTAATATAACAGGATGGCATAGACTTACTCAGCATTTTGATTTTTTTTCCTTTGATATAGATGGATCATGCTGATAGTCGCTTATTACTTAATATATAGATACAGTTTCTAATATACCTTTCCCTTGAAGTTACCTTGAAGTGTTTTTCTGTTTATATATGGGTCTCCTCCTTTTCTATGCAATTTGCTGCTTAAGGATTATACTCATTAATCTTTGTTTTTATTTTGCTACAGGAGGAGTTGGATTTGTCTTCTAGTTCTCAGATGTCTCCTCTTTCCTTATATGGTGAAAGCTCTAATAGTCCCTCTTCAGCAGAGCCACTGAAGGAAGATAAGCCTGTCACTGGTCCTAGGAACAAGACTGGTATTACTCTATCTCCTAACTTCTGTTATTTCTGTTTCAGATTGAGCTTAGGTTCCATTTCTTAAAGGAAAATGCTGGATTAAGTTTATGTTTATTAGGCTGGCTTGCTGTTTTTTAATTGGTGGACCTATATTGTTTGTTGTGAGTGATTACTGTGGAGAGGAAAGGGTAGAAATAATCTTTGGTTGTCTCTGTCTTATTAGGTGAAAGATACTTTAAAATAGACTCAGACCTCACCATCTTCAGCAGAGATTTCAAAGTTTCTGTTAAAGATAACTGAATGGAGGGCCATTCAACCATGACGTTTGTTACCTGTTAATCTCTGGGTGTTATTCCGCGATTTTAGCTCTTCTCCTTTACCAGTTAGTGTGTCCCATTCCCAAAACTGCAGCTTGGCTAGAAAAGAAGGTAACAGTTGAAGTACTTTTCTTCAGTTCATTCAGGTATATGTATTGTAGCAAGGTGTGTGATAGAATCTGTTTTTTAGGGCTTGCTTAATTGCTTTCACATTGACTTGTGGTTTGTCTGTTTTTTCTCCAGAAAATGGACTGACTCCAAAGAAAAAAATTCAGGTGAATTCAAAACCTTCAATTCAGCCCAAGCCTTTATTGCTTCCAGCAGCACCCAAGACTCAAACAAACTCCAGCGTTCCAGCAAAAACCATCATTATTCAGACAGTACCAACACTTATGCCATTGGCAAAGCAGCAACCAATTATCAGTTTACAACCTGCACCCACTAAAGGTACCTGAGCAGAATTTAAGGCTGTGTATGTTTATTTGGAGGGCAGTAAGGGTCGTGTTATATGATTTGTTTTAATTCAGGTTATAATTTCTGAGCACGTGCTGTTTGTCAGGAATGTATTTGGTTATGAGGACATTGCAGAGATGACTAATGTATGGTTCCTGTCATAACAAGGGATATAGCTCTCCAGACCAGTTATATCCGATGGCTATTTTGAAAATCTGGGACATTTTCTTGGTGCCATTTTAATCTGGTGGATTAAATACAGAAACACAAATTTTTAGCTAGTTGAATGCAGAGTTCAGGTCAGCCAGATTTTTGTGGCTGTGAACTTTTTTTGTTTTTAAGGAGTATTTAAAATAATAGGGTCCATTTCAGGTGTGTGATAGCAATAGAATCAAGCTCTTAATCTCTGAGGAGGGTGCATGGTTTAGTAAACAGTATATTGACCTGGTCACTATGAGCAGATACGAACTCTGTTTTCAACTAGCTAAGAATTTGTGTGTTTCATATTTTATCCACCAGATGGCCTCATATACTTGTGATTCTACAAGAGGTTTAGGTCATAATTGAAAGAAGTTCAAGTCTGAGGATTTGGTACTATTCAGATATAGGAGTCATTTGCGTATGGAGATCTCTTAGGTAGGTTAGTCATCATTGTACTCATACTGATGTCTGTGTACATTGAGTTCAAGAAAACTTGTGCAACATTCTTTTCTCTGGATTTAGTTTGTTGGCACCAGATGTGACTAGGCGATAATGGGGTATGGGTTGTAAATAAATACCACTGTTACATTTGCTTTTATGACTGTATCTCATCTCCAATTGTAAATAGTTATCTCGTTTTTTGGAGCATAGTTTTAATGAGGGTAAATTTGATAAATTTAATTTCCAGATACTCTTTTAGCTTTGTTCTATTACATGGTCATAGACAATATGACATTGATAAAAAGAAGACCTAGATGAGAAAATGGATGGATCAGTGGACATTCATCAATCAGTCCCACCAAAAATAAACAGACAAACAAATAAAAACCAGTTTGAAATTCCTGTCCTCTCAGTACAAAGTCAAAACTGCTGCTTTTTCCATATGAAAAATAGCAATCCTATAGAATAGGTATTCTTGTGATTTATAAGTGTGTTAAGGGTTTATGAACTCCTTGAAATAAAATGCAAGATTTAATATATGTTCATATTTGGATTATTCTAGGGATAGTCTTCAAAACTTTCATTAGGATCTCATAAGGATCTGTGCCTTCCCAGAGGCTAAGAATTTAAACTAATGAAGAAACTCATTTAGTTCCCATAAGCTATTAAAATACATCTATACAGAAAGTCTGACATTAATATGACTAGTGTATAAAGCAGGGGTCTTCCTAAGAATTTGCCCTTAGCAGATCATTGACTATGTTTGAGTGATGGAAGATCTTACCTATAGTAAGAAGACAAACTGTTCTTTTCTGAGCAGTTTATCAGTTCCAGAAACCTGAATTACACGTTATTTGAAACTTCAGTACTTTCCTGTGATATGAAGACTATACTTATTTTTTTGTGAGCATATGCTAATATGAGGAACTGCACCTTGTCTGTTTTTTTTTTTTCTTTTTTTTGAGACGGAGTCTGTCTCTGTTGCCAGGCTGGAGTGCAGTGGTGTGATCTCGGCTCACTGCAATTCCTGCCTCCTGGGTTCAAGTGGTTCTCCTGCCTCAGCCTCCAGAGTAGCTGGGACTACAGGCACGTGCCACCATGCCCAGCTAATTTTTATATTTTTAGTAGAGGTGGGGTTTCACCATGTTGGCCAGGATGATCTTGATCTCTTGATCTTGTGATTGCCCGCCTCGGCCTCCCAAAGTGCTGGGATGACAGGTGTGAGCCACTGCGCCTGGCGCCTTGTCTCTTTTTATAGTACAATCTAAATAGGTGTTGTTATTGTAATAACATACAGATTTAAGGTATGTTTTTCATTCATTTGAGAGTGGAGAGGGAGGAAGAAGAGAAGTATAGGCAAGGCATTATGCGGTTAATCATGTTTATACTAGTAGTAAGTATTTTACCATTGAAAAAGAAGAGATAATTTCCACAGGTTTAAGACTCAGATTCTCTAGCTTGGAATATAAAACTCTTCACAATTTGGCTCTAGTTTAGTTTTTAGGTTTTTTTTTAATAGAGGGTCTCACTATATTGCTCAGTCTGGTCTCGAACTCCTGGGCTCAAGGGATCTACCCACCTCGATCTCCCAAAGCTCTGGGGTTAAGGCATGAGCCACCATGCCTGGCGTTCTAGTTTAGTTTTCGAACTTTATAATATTACTCTTTTCTATAAATCCCTTCTTCTAGCTCAACTAATCTGGCATTATTCTTTGAATTCTCTTGTTTTTCCTAGTTTTTTGGCTCACCATTTTCTACCAACCAGCAACAACTTATGCCTACTTCTACTTCTCAGTCCTCCATGTCCTTTAAGACTGTTTTGAGTAGTGTAGATGAGAGATAATGAAAACCTGGAATATCAGTAAAAGTGGAGAACCAGGATGAAGAGTAGAGATGTTAAAAGTGTAGAATCATAGAGATTGGTAATTGGATCATGTAGAAGGAGGCTGAAGGATAGAGAGTAAGGTATCTAGGATGACTTCCATTTTTCTATCTTGGGGCTTTTTGGGTAGATGATGGCGAAAATTATTGAAATGGGAGACAGAGGTAAAATACGTTGCCCAGATCACTCTGCTAATAAGAAGTAGAGCCAGAACTTGAGCCCAGGTGGTCTGGCTTGGAGTCTATGTAAATAATCACTGTACTGTATTGCCTTAAAAAAAATGACAGATGTATTCCTTGCTTTCAAGAATTCTACACTTTAATTGGGGAATTAAATTCACACAAACAGTTAAATAACAGTCACTGTGATAACTAATACATTAATAACTCATGCAGTGCCCATATGGAAGCTATTATTATATAGAAAAGGAGATTAATAATAATAATTGCATTTAAGTTCTTATGTGCCAGACACTCTTCTAAGTGCTTAAGTGCGTTATCTTATTTAATCCTTATGTCAACTCTATGGTGATGGGTTCTGATATCTCCATTTTATAGATGAAAACACTAAGCACAGATTATTTGCCTAAAGTCACACAGCTATGCTATTTCAGACAAAGTAGGCATTCAATAAATGTTTGATACATAGTTTAAAATCTTTGAAGAAAGTTTAAAAGAAAGAACTATCAAAATCAGTGAGTTACACATAGTCAAAAAAGTATGGCATTGAATCCAGCCATGTTCCATTAAGGAGGTTATGCATGTAATGCCAGAGAGGATTTTGAGCATGCTGAAATGGATAAACAGCCTTTGGAATGTCCTTTTTAACTGTTTCCACACTAGGAAGAGTAGTAACTATGTTCAGCTGGTATTTAAGGCCCCAGACAATTCTTTGCGTTGTAATTTGTGGCCTGGTCAGCATTTACCAAGTCACTATGAGAGTTTTTTGTTCTTTCACTTGAACATATTGTCATAGAAATTTAGTTGTTTCCCCTCATTCTGTGTTGAACCCAAACATGCCTAGAATATTTAGGGTATCCCTGATTTACATGCTGGGTAATTTGAGGATACTTGGGTACTCTGGAATGAAAAGGCTTGATGTACTATATGGGAAAAAAAGGAGGCAGCAGTGGCTTGGTAGGACTCAAGCTCCATTTGGTGCAGACGCCTTGCCTTTGGTACACACACATCTCCTTCTTTGTGTGATGCTCAGCACTCTCAGCAAGGAGACAGTGATAATTACACAATTGGCAGTACAGATTTGGATTATTTTTCTTAATTAGTTTAAGAAATATTACAAAGCCTTCTGTACAAGTTATCTGCCAGGGCTTTAAATCTGTAACTGTAGCTAGAAATAGGATTCTTTCTTATAAGTTACCTAATTCATTATGTTTACACCTCTTCTGTTCTTTAAAATAGTCCCAAATTTCCCTGAACAGTGTTTAATTTTGGGGGGGTGTCTTTTAATCATAATTTTAAAACTCAGATGATGTAGAACATGGCTTCCTGTAATACTCTTCTCAAAGTATTGGTTTAAGTCAGTGGTTCTCAATCTGTGTATTGTGGACCCTGGGGTGTGGGTGATGGGGGTAGTAGCCTTATGGCATTTTGCAGAGCATCTGTAAATCCATACTTGAAGCAAGCATTTTCTGTAGACCAAATAAATAATTTGTTTCATATATCTTTGTACAGCTCTTCAAATTTGTATAGCTATACTTCTGACTAATAAACTCCAAGTTCATTTTAAATCTTCACTAAATTCTTAGCAGCCTTTTTCCATCATGTATTTTCTCAATCCACAGAAACTAAAAGGACAACCTTGATGATTTTGGGTGACCATGATATTATTTTATATTAAAAGAGAGCTCTTATATTCAGGAGCCTTTGGGGAGAGACTATGGGTTTTCTAGGTGTAGAATTATATCATCTGTGTGAGAGGTAGTTTGACTTCCTCTCTTCATATTTGGATGCCTTTTATTTCTTTGTTTTGCCTGATTGCTCTGGCTGCGACTCAAGCACTTGGGAATTCTTGTTTTTTTTTTTTTTTTTCTCTACAATATGATGAATATGTATTTTCATAGTGCCAGATTGACTGTAATTTCTTATTGTTATTAAAACCTAACACTTGGTCATATGCTGTTTACTTTATATGTTACTAATTTTTATTTGCGTATTTGGCGTAAACATTTTTATGTCTGCTTATGAGTAATTTCTCCATTTTATATGTTTTTACTTCATAAAAGAATGGAGTCTACCTCAAAACAAATTAGGCATCAAAGGAACATACCTCAAAATAATAAGAACCATCTATAGCAAGTCCACAGCCAGCATCATAACGAATATATGAGAGCTGGAAGCGCATTCCCTTTGAGAACCAGAACAAGACAAGGATGCCCTTCTCACCGCTCATATTCAACATAGTGCCGGAAGTTGTAGCCATAGCAGTCAGGCAAGAGAAAGAAATAAAAGGCATCCAAATAGGAAGAGAGGAAATCAAACCATCTCTCTTCACAGACGATACGATTCTATACCTAGAAAACCCATAGTCTCGCCCAAGTCTCCTAGATCTGATACACAACTTCAGCAAAGTTTTAGGATACAAAATCAATGTACAAAAGTCAGCAGCATTTCTATACCCCAGTAATGTTCAAGCTGAGAGCCAAATCAAGAATGCAATTTCATTCACGATAGCCAAAAAAAGAATATAAAGTACCTGGGAATACAGCAAGCTGGGGAGGTGAAAGATCTCTACAATGAGTATTACAAAGCACTGCTGAAAGAAATCAGAGATGACACAAACAAATGGAAAAACATTCCATGCTCATGGATAGGAAGAATCGATAGTGTGAAAATGGCCATACTGCTCAAAGCAATTTACAGATTTAATGCTATTCCTATCAAACTGTCAATAACATTTTTTTTACACAATTAGAAAAAACTATTCTAAAGTTCACATGGAACTGAAAAAGAGCCTAAGTAGCCAAAACAGTCCTAAGCAAAAAGAACAAAGCGAGAGGCATCACACTACCTGATTTCAAACTGTACTACAAGGCTACAGTAACCAAAACAGCATGATACTGGTACAAAAACAGACACATAGACCAATGGATTAGGTTAGAGAACCCAGAAGTAAAGCTGCACCCCTGCAACCATCTGGTCTTTAACAAAAACAGACTGGGGGAAAGGATGCCCTATTCAATAAATGGTGATAAGATAACTGGCTAGCCATATGCAGAAGATTGAAAGTGGATCCTTTCCTTTAAGTGTATACAAAACCCAACTCAAGATGGATGAAAGACTTAAATGTACATGCCCAAATTATAAAAACCCTAGAAGAAAATCTAGGAAATACGGTTCTGGACATAGGCCCTGTCAAAGATTTCATGATGAAGACTCCAAAAGCATTGCAACAAAAACAAAAATCGACAAATGGGACCTAATTAAACTAAAGAGGTTGGGCGTGGTGGTTCACACCTGTAATCTGAGCACTTTGGGAGGCTGAAGGGTGGATCGCTTGAGATCAGGAGTTCAAGACCAGCCTGGCCAATATGGTGAAACCCCATCTCTACTAAAAATACATAAATTAGCCAGGCATGGTGGTGCATGCTTGTAATCCCCGTTACTTGGGAGGCTGAGGCAGGAGAATTGCTTGAACCCAGGAGGCCGCAGGTGCAGTGAGCTGAGATTGTGCCACTGCACTCTAGCCTGGGCGACAGAGCT